TTAGTTATAACTAAGAACTTATCAAAATATTAATGTTTATTCTAGAGATAAATGAAGTTCAACAAAAACTAAACACATTTAACACTAGGGGGCACTCAGTAGAGCGCATACCTCCTTCACGCAGCGTTGATCATATTCGGCTTTCAAAAAATACGAATATGTGCCAGTCGTTATCAACGGACATGGAGAATTTTTGGCAGGACAATGAGAAATAAAATTCTACATTTCCACCAAGTTTCATCAAAATCCGATCATTTTTTACTGAGTTATAGAGCAAAAATAGTGTGAAAAATCGGTCCCCATGTTAACAAATAGGGATTTTTTCTATTTTCGTAATCTTCCTTTGACCTTGACCCTCCAAAAACTAATAATTTCTAAGTTGGGTTATAGTTCAAATGTATATACCAATTTTCGTCCAAATCCATTCAGCCGTTTTCGAGAAACCTTGCTGACAACAACACAAACAAATACAGGGGTGAAACATAATCACCGTCACCTTCGGTGGCGGGGGTAATAAGACCACTTCTGTACTTATAGAATTTGTTGTGATGTGTAGAATTTTTGTAAGATTATTATATTGCAAGTTCACAAAATTTGGAAGCTGAACCCCAGAAATGCCTACACATAGGTTAACCCTCATATGAATATATTTTCACGAGTCGAAGTAACACAAAAGTAATGTACTTACAACTAAAACAAGAACAGTAAACAAGATGCAAGTACATTTTGGTGAGGGAGTCCATGGCGGGTATCCAAACCCGATTTGTAACGTTATAAGCCCGCAAATTTACTGCTGCCATTGGGGAAATGGAGGTTAATTCCAGAAAACATTAGAGCTTTATTTACCTCTTTATTTATTCGCCCGTTAAATTATTCAAATTTAGTGCTTTGAAATAGTGAATGTACCAATATTTTTTCTGTTTTCGAAAGAGGAATACACAGGTTGTGTCAACATTTCTTTTTTAAGGTTCTTAAATATCAAAAGCATTTGATAAAAAAATGTGTATATTAAGTCAAATATGTATTGAAAAATTGCTTGCTTTAAGTAACTATTTAGTTGGATGGTGTTGTACGTATTTTCTTCTCTCCTAGCTTATAACGAGTTTCCTCCTGACCTGTTCACCAATCAACAGCGTGTACGAGGTGCCGTCATCGTTCACGTGCTCGTCACACTGTATATGTTCTACGCACTTGCTGTTGTGTGTGATGATTTCTTTATTGCTGCTTTAGAAGAATGTTGTGAAGTAAGTGACACATTTTCCCGAATGTTTCTCTCTTTGTTCATTCACGAAATAACTCTCTCTCTCTCTTTCATTATATATATATTTATATACACATAAATGTCTCTCTATACAGATATATATTTATCTCTATATTTCAGGAAAAAGAACATTTAAAAAAAAAATCCAAACAGTTAGTACGAGGACAAATTCTAGTCCAGTTCTCATAATTGGTATTTAGGTTTTATAGACCTAGGATGGTTAGGTGCATATGATCCCCCCCTGTTACATGTTATCAGCTTCTGTTAAATACGAATTTAACTACTACATGAGGGTCTGAGTATCTCGCCATTGTATAGCGAGTTTGTTGATTGAATTTTGCGCAAAGCTACTCGAGGGCTATTTGCGCTAGCCGTTCCTAATTTAGAAGTGATAGACTACAAGGAAGGCAGCTAATCAACACTACCCATCGCCAACTCTTGGGCTACTCTTTACCAATGAATAGTGGGACTGTGTAGTGAGAAAAAAAAAAGCTATGTCCAATGGTTTTCTTTCCATTGCAATGGGGGGGGGGAAGCTTCATCCTAAATTCAATTCTTCGCCCACGTTAGTGTTGTTTTTTTGTATGTGTGCTACATTTTTTTTTAGACTGTGAATAAGTTAGTAAAACTCTACCATTTTAGACATACTTGTAAAACAAATCTTAGGTAATACAATCAAACGATACTTATAGACATTCGGTACTCGAATACCCTGTGCTACATCAGTCATCAAATAACAAATAAATCCCCTCTTCTCAGGAAAAATTATGAAAGAAAACCCCTGTAGGTTGTAAAATAGCACAACAGAAGAATGAGATTGATAACCCGCGACAACTGAATACATTTTTCTGCCATATCTATATCGAAATGAATACAGTTTGAAG